GAACAAATTATTGTATTGAGGAGCTTATTTGTGTTCTCATCCATATTAGAGAACAAATTATTGTATTGAGCTTTCATTGTGAGGATACACTTTGTAATACACTTGTACACCGAGATGAGCTTTCATTGTGAGGATACACTTTGTAATACACTTGTACACCGAGAGGAGTGTGTGGTGAGAGACGGAGTCGTCTCAAGAGGAGTGACGTCGGTAGTAAAGCCGAGGGAGAGGTTGTAAATCCGAACACTTGAGGGAGACACAGGTTAGAAACCAACACTTAGAGTGTGTAGAGTGTGTTTGCAAGAGTGTTGATTGTAAAGTTTTCAGTAAGCTAGAAAACCGAGTGTGAGGTGTAAATGTTTTCGGGTGAGCGTCGAAAACCTGGTGTGATAGTGGATTTCTCCCCGGGAGTGGAGAGTGAAGACGTAGGACGGAAGGTCCGAACTCCGTGATCATTTGCTTGTGTTTGAGTATGCATTGGCGTTCATTTATATTTGTGCTCATTGCTCATATCGCCATCGTCTCATTATTTAGTTTGTCCACTATATTGTTTACATTTGTTCGTTTCACTCTTGTGTTATTTGTATATCCTTGCATATATATCTTGTCACATATTATACTTGCTAGGATATTTATTAATTAGTTTTAATTAGCATAAAATTGGATTAGATTAGCATAAACCATATTCACTCCCCTCTAGGGTTCTTTCCTAGTGGCATTAGGGCATAACATTTTGGTTCTCTTCTCTCATCGCTCACTGACTCGTTTGGTTGTCGAGCACGCTTCCGCATGGTGCGCAACACGCTATCTCTTGGGTGTGACATATGTTAGACCCTAGAGGGGGGTGATTAGAGTCTTATGCTAATCTAATCTGATTATATGCCAATTAAAATTAATTAACAAGTTATCCTAGCAAGTGTGAAATACAATAATATATATGAGCTAGGATAAGCAATATGAACAACAAGATATATCCTAATAATGAGATATAGCCAATGTATGTGCAAGGATATATAAACAACACAAGGATAAATAATCTAAACAAGATAGTGGATGATATAGTAATGAGCAATGCACAATGGCGATATAAGATATGAACATAAATATAAATGAACGCCAAAGCACACTCAAACACAATCAAATGGTCACGGAGTTCGGACCTTCCGTCCTACGTCTCCGCTCCCCACTCACGGGGAGAAATCCACTAACACAATCCGGTTTGGAAGCTGGAACTTCTACACACTCGGTTTCCAAGTTCACCGAAAACTCTCACACAACAAACACTATGCAAACACACTTTACACCCACTAAGTGTTGAACTAGACGTGTCTCCCTCAAGTGCTCGGTTATAACCTCTCCCTAAGTTCGTCAACCGACGCCACTCCTCTTGGGACGATCCCCGACTCTCACTACACACTTCTCTCTTGGTGTACAAGTGTATTACAAAGTGAATATCTCAATAAGCACAATATAACAAATGATTGTTCTCTCTAACAAGGTGAGAACTCAATTAGGCTCAACTCAATATCACACAATCCCACAACCCAATTATATAATATATGCAAATACAATAAGCTCAAATTGGTGTGTGTAAACAATGAGTGAAATCAAAATCAAAACTAAACTCAATTAAAATCTAGCATATAGAAATTATAAACAAAATAATAAATAGCTAGAAATGAGTTTAGAGATTCTTCTCTGAATAACAAGATGGAGAGATGGAGATTGTAGCCCAAACAAGAATATAATCTCCTCCACTTGTGAAAACCAAAACAGCTTTAAACCAAACCCTTAAACAAGCTTAAAACAAGCTTAAACCCTTTTTAAAACCCTTGTTAAAAACTTCTTTTTTCTATTGAAAGAGAGCAACAATAGGGTATTTATACCCACTCAAAATCTTAGCTAAAAACCCCAAGCCAAATGACAAAAACAGCCCCAGCAACGGTAACAAATTCTCGCAGTCGACCGCGATCCAGGACTAAAACAGATAATGCAATTAGAACTTCGTCGGTCGACCGATGCGGTCGACCGATGGAGCTCTCGGTCGACCGCACTGGTCGATCGACAAACTCTCTGCTGCCCACTGCCGACTTAATATATGAGCGGTCGACCGGATCGGTTGACCGATAACTGATACTTGAAAATCTGATTTCCTAATTTTAAAACACTGTTTAAAAATATCAAATAAATTCTAAAAAATGTAAAACTTTGGGGAATGATTGTAGACATGATAATAAACATGCTACAATGACTGGTTTCCAAAAAGAACTTTTCAAATGAAAAATATCATCATTTTACAAAATAGTCCAAAACATGAAAATATGAGATACTTGAATTTTGATGTTTTGACATAAACCAACTATTGAAACTTTGTGAAATGTTTTTATAGACTTAGTAAAACATGTATAAACTGATATCAAAGTCTATAAACTAATAAGATAATATTTTCACAAAATTACATATTCTATGCAATGTTTTCAAAAACACAGTAGTAAATATGAAATATATGATTAGATATTGAGCTTAGAGTATATAACACACATAATATAAAATCTAAAACTACATTACCCAAGCAATCTTGATCTTTAATTAAGCTTGACTTGGTACACTTGCGGATGAAACTTGAACTTGATCTTTAACTTTGAATTTGTATAAGCTTCACCGACATTCCGCCAACCTCCATTGGCTATGATCGTTGAAGCTCTATTCCATCCATCCTCCAACACGTTGTTTGCCTAGAATAAATACTAAAACATAAATACTAGACAAACAACATTAGTGGTAAATTGTTTGTTAAACATCATCAAAACAAGAAGGCCAACAACATAGTTGCTCTGTTCACAACCTTAGTGACGACCCTCATGTGGGGTGTTGATCAATTTTTGCATATTCGAACTACGAATGACATCTTTAGCTTTTGGTTAGCTTGTGATTCTATTCACAATTGACGATCGTTTGTTGCTTATTTTTGGTTCAAAGGTCATGTACCTCATTTAACTTTTTGTGTCTAAAAGGTGTTTATTCAATGTCTCCCGATACAAGAGTTTTCTGTACGCAAGAGCTAAATATTGTCTCATGATGCTTATTGTTATGTCTACTAGTGGGGATGTTACACATCTCTTCCTGAAGTGCCCATACATGC